CTTGGAATCCTCATTCCAACGCCATCGAGTTTTCTTATTTTTGAGCTCGTATGAGGGAGATATGACTGTTTGAAGTCAGGCTGTCTAGTTAAAGAAAGTTACCCGAATTTAAGAGGGCTATTTTGGTCTTTTTCTTACCCAATCAGATTAAAACTAAATTTGGTAATATTTAGGGGTCTAAACTTATTTGGTTCAGTTTTACAAATAAAATACGCTAGGATTTTGAGACGAGTTGAAGAAGAGAAGAAAAGAGGAGAAGATCCAAGCGTTCTTCAAGTTCTTGAGGTTTTTCTTGCGGATTTTTGCCAAGGGTTAATCCTTAAGAGGTATGTGAGTTCTCATAGTGTTTGGTTCATTCAGCCACATGCCAATCATGTTATTTTCAGCGAAGTTTCATTCTTGAAGTTTAAGAATTCGAGTTCTTGATTAGTTTCTTGAAAGTATTGTTTTTTGTGCTTGAATTAGGATGGGTTGATGATTTCTTGAAATAATTTAAATTATATTGAGGGTAGTTTCAAGTGGATTAACGTATACTATTGTTGGGTATTCGAATCTAAGTGATTAGGGAAGAAACCATTCGATTCTAGGCAAATTAGGGTCGAACAACGAGTAAGAAAATTCGTCAGAAATTCTAGGTTGCACCAACAGTGCGCCAAAGAAGAGGGTTCGTGGTTTGTCTCATGGGACGCCGCTCCACTTAGTGCGCCTCAACCTTCCTTCTATATTTTAGGGTCTGGCACCCTACACCACTCAGTACACCAAGGTCGCTATGCCCTCTACTCTTTAGTCCTTCTTTTAGCATGAGTTCCCTCGAATCCTACCTATGTTTTCTAATTGATTTCTACACTCTAAGGTACGTCTGAAAATTAAGAGATCCTCCATAACACGAGATTATAACCCTTGAATCCATAATTCAAATTCAAGGAAAGAGTTAAGAGTAAAGTCTTGAGAGTTCTTCGAGTCATTTTAAGAAGTCTTTTACAAATCTTCTAAACTTTATTACATGACTTGAGCACTGAGTTGAGGAAGAGTAAAGCTAAATTCATTTTATTTAAAATAATATATGGGAACTAAGTATTTCCAAGAGCAAATGTTTTTTAAATTTAAGATGAGAGGAAACACCACTTTCCAAAGAGTTCATGAAATTTTTTTAATATTATCTCCTTTTAGAGAAAGATTTTTAAGTAATAATCTCAAACCATAGATAGAGGAATGTTTTATTTAAAACATAATGAGCTAAGTATATTTTGGGAGTAGTATTGAGCACCGATATAGGGAAGAGTTCATACAACTCACAACCCTCATAAACCCTGTAGCCAACGTGGGTAGAAAGGGTCATACTTTTTAGATGATTCCTTATGCTTTTTAGCATAGACTAGTGGATCTACTTAATTAGTAGTATCTATAACCCGGCAAAGTATAGGAGAGTTCTGGCAGCATGGGCTAGACATTGTACTATCACATATCTCATAGTGGTGGTTGTCGGTTAGAGAATATCCAACAGTTTATTTTGTATTTTTGCATACAAACAGAGTTTATATTCTATTTTCTAATATAGTGAGTTGTCAACTACTGTTTTAAAGTTTTTCTTTATAGTGCATTATTTAAACTGATTTATATTGAAATGAAGTTGAGTTGAGTTGAGATGAGGTAAGTGTTTCTTCAGTTCCAATTTCAAGCTTATGTCATGTTTTAGAATTCCTCTCACATGCTCGTACATTCCATGTACTGACGCCATTTGGCCTGCATTTTTTATGATGCAAATACAGGTAATCAGGATCAGCATCCAGCTCTTCGTTGATCAATTCGAGTTCTAGAGTCATTTGGTGAGCCTCCTAGCTTCTGGAGGACCCCTTTATTATGTTTTATTATTCAATTTTATTAGGATGATCGAGGCTCTTGTCCCGACTTCCCTCATAGTATTAGAGGTGTAACACCCTAAATACTAGACCAACATTTGCATGTCGATACACCATTGCTTAATTACTAGAATATGTTTTATTCTCATTTTGGGAACTTGAAATTTTGTGATATTTGCAACCTTGCTTAACATAATTGTGATCGTAATTTAAGGTATTGTATGGGGATATATTTTCTAATTAGAATTACATATAAATTGAAAGTGTTGGTATTAGGTATATACATATAAGTATATATGTATGCTTTTTCGGCTGCCTACTTTTATTTGGGCAGCCCTTTTAGTGACAGTTGTACATGTGACTAGCCTCACTTTTGATACTATATTTTGACACCTCTTCTCGTAAAATTCATCTCACCTGAAGTATAAGAACCTTAGAATATTATCTAACAAGTTGTTCTTCAAAATCACAAGAGAAAAACTTGGCCCTTTTGGCTAGAATTCAAGACACACATTTCTTTTTGGTAACTGACAAAATCTGTTTCTAAGTTGGGTAGTGTTTGGTATTTTATGCATATATCTTTCTCTAGAACTTAGTTTACAGTAAATAAATATGATTTGAAAAGCTATTTCGTAGACCTACCACTCTTATGTTTATGTAAAACTCTAATTTAGCTATTATTAATTTGCAATATGGGACGTAACATAGGACAGGTTCTGTCCAGATTTTGAAATTACAAATCCTGTATGAACAACTGTTAGTGTTTTGAATATATCCTTTTATACAAAATATATTTTTCTGTGATTCTTATTAGTTTGAAACCCTAAGAGATATATCTACATCTTTCATGAAGGTTATAAAGTCTAGTTTTGCCGTTTTCCCTTTCAAATCTAAGGTGCGACATGAGGTACTAGGCTGGCAAAAATTACTGTTTTGGGAGCATAGTCGTATTTGTACATGCTAAGCTTACTTGTGATGATAATCTTATTTTACATCAACATTATTGAGCTTCTAGGAATTAACGAAGTTATTTAATTGTATTTAAAAGGTTGTATATACTCGTGAATAAGTTGAGGACCTTGAAACGTTGGTTGGTCTACGGTCTGAACTCACGAAGTTGTGTTGGACTGTTTCTTTGCTAAAGCATTGAGGTTTGTTTATAAACTTGTACTTGCACTCTTTTAACTGCTGGTATATCTGAAAGTTGATCTTGGTACCTTGGTTACCCCTTGTCACTTTGCATTGTCATGTTGGTATCCTTTAGGACATTAAAGATGCTTGTGTAACTCGCCCACTTGTACGAATTGTTTGATCACTTGGTACTCTTTTTGGGACCTTGTCCTTCTTGTGGCTGTGACTTTGTCACTATTGGCATGCCTCTTGATTCAGATCATTTGCCATCTTAACTCTGGATTTTTAGTTCGTCTTAAATATGGAAGTTGTCCATTTTAAGTACGAACTAGAAAGCCATTTTTAATATGGTTCTTGGTTCTCTTGATTATTGGGCTTTGACCCTTCTTGATATAGGGCGTCAGCCCTTCTTGATACATGTTTGTGCTTGGTGTGACGACATGATGTATATATTGGGCGAGCCTTGCTCTTGAATCACTTGGAAAATTATACTATGAGCGTTCTTGACATTTGGATCTTTAAATATCGAACTTGATACTCTTTATATATTGTTTACTTGATTTATTTATTATGTTCAATTATGCTGCCCAAGACTTGAGAAAGGTAACTTGGTGAATCTGAGGGCTCCGAACCTATAGTTTTTGCACCACTAAGCTATATGCTTAGCGATAGTTGTTTCTATCGTAGGGAATGTTCGAGAGGAAGCATGAAGTTGGCCATTGGAGATGGAGATTTTGAGAGCCTTAAGGAAGATCACATTTGCATATAGGCTTCTATATTTTGTATAAACCTTGGGACTTGTACATGATCTATGTGTTGTATATTTACATGAAATTTTGAGGACTAATTTGATCATGTCACCATGGGTTGTAATATAAGTATGTCTATATGTTTTGTTCTTTTGGGGTGTGTAAACCCAAGTCTTGTAACATACAAAATTTACTATTAGTTTTGAATGTTTGTGTGAAGCATAAACCGGCTGATTTCGGTACTCGAAAGTTGGTAATATTCTTGTTATCCCATCCTTAAGTGTGAGGATAATATATGGATGAAAAGCTCGTCAGTTATTTACTTAAATTATTCTGGGAGGGTTTTTCCATCATAAGTTAAATTTCGCGTCATGACAATTTTAATATCAAATAAATGTTTAAATGGGCAAGATGTATATCCCTAACTAAATTATTCGTTATGAACCTAATCCCTCTACTAGATTAAAATCAGTATGCCTTTCGTTAATCTCTTTTAAATGTCACAAGTATTAAATTAGGTTTCTCGTTAAGTGGTAGTATCCCTCCGAAAGGGTCGCTACAAGAGGCTTCATAGATAGATAGACAGTAGTACATGATTCTCTTCCATTTTTAGTTATAAATGTTTAAAGACTTGAGTTTCCTCTTTGGCTAGTTGAATGTTCCTTTACAACATTCTAAGTTTATTACATAACTTTATCTTTTGAGTTCATTTAATGTTGATGTAAGTCTTCCGCTGAGTAGTAAGTCAGGCCAAGGGTTCGCTTGGGGCCATTAATGGTTCTCGAGTGCCAGTCGTGCCCATGGTGTAGGCTCGGGGCGTGACAAACTTGGTATCAGAGCCTAGATTTCAAGAGTCCTAGGGTGTCTATGAAGTCGTTTCTGTAGAGTCCTAGTTATTAGTGTGAAGCATGCCACATCTATAATTAGAAGGCTGCGACATTTAGGAAACCATCTCACTTCTTTCATACTCATTTCGTGCGATAGAGTTCATCTCTATAAAGGTTCCTTCTAATTTATGCTTGCGCGTATCTTTCAGATCATGCCTCCATGAAGAATTGTTTGAGGTCGTCCCACTAGAAGGAATGTTGAGGATAAAGAGGTACCCAATGCACCAGAAGGGAAACCCCAAGGATAAGTCACTAATGCTTAGTTCTGTGAAGCTATCTGTATGTTGAGCCAAGTTGTGACCAACCATGCTAGACAACAAAGAGAGGTTCGATAGGATGTGGCTAATACGTCAAGGATCCATGAGTTCTTAAGGATGAATCCTCCTAACTTCACCGGTTCAAGTGTCACTCAGGATCCGGAAAACTCTGTGGAAGAGTTGGAGAAGGTTTATGATATTATGCATGTTTCCTATACTGAACGAGTGGAACTAGCTGCATAATAATTGAAGGATGCCGCTAGAATCTGGTTTGACCAATGGAAGAAGAATAGAGTTGAAGGTGCACCAATTGTGAGCTGGGCGGTATTTCAGAAGGCCTTTTTGGGGTTTTTATTTCCCCATGAACTAAGAGAGGCCAAGGTAGGGGAATTCCTCACTCTTAAGCAGGAATTTATGAGCGTACATGAGTACAGCCTTAAGTTCACCCAATTTTCCCATTATGCCTCAGAGATGGTTGCTGACATGAGGAGCAGAATGAGTTTGTTCGTTGCTGGGTTGTCTCATTTGTCAAGTAAAGAGGGTAAGGCTGCAATGTTGATAGGGGACATGGACATATCTGGGCTGATGATTCATGTGCAACGGGTTGAGGATGAAAAGCTGAGGGATAGGTAAGAGTTCCGAAATAAGAAGGCAAAGACATCAGGAAATGAGTTCGGGCAGCAGAAGAGTAATGAAAACCAGTCTTCTTTTAAACATAAGCAAAATGGACCTGCTCCATCATCTGTTACTGCACTTGCACTAAGGAACAGAGGTGAGTTCAGAGTCAGAATTCACAGAACTTCAGAGCTAGACATGCAAAGTTGGAAGGCAGTGTGGCACAAGGAGGTAATGGGACTTATACATGTGATAAGTGTTGTAGGACCCACTCAGAAGTGTGTCGTGATGGCTCTACTAGTTGTTTGAAGTGTGGTCAAAATGGTCACTTCATGAGAGAGTGCCCAAAGAACAGGAAAGGTAGTGGTAATGGGGAAAATATAGCCCAATCTTCTTCAGTTGCTCCACCAGACAGAGCTACACCTAGATGGGCTACTTAAGGAATAGGCGGAGGAGAAAATCGTATGTATGTTATCACTAGTCGGCAAGAGCAAGAGAATTTGCCAGATGTTGTCACTAGTATGATCAAAGTCATTAATTTTGATTTTTATGCTTTGCTAGACCTAGGAGCGACTCTATCTTTTGTGACTCCTTATATTGGTATGAATTTTGATATTCTTCTTGAGCCCTTTAGTGTTTCTACACTTGTTGGTAAGTCTATTCTAGCTGAGAGAGTTTATCACGATTGTACCATTTCTGTCAATCACAAGGACACCATGACTGAATTAATCGAGTTAGACATGATAGATTTTGATATTATTCTAGGTATGAACTGGCTTCATGCTTGTTGTGCCTCAGTTGATTGTAGAACTCGAGTAATTAAGTTCTGGTTTCCTAATGAGCCAGTTATAGAGTGGAGAAATAGTTCAGCAGTGCCTAAGGGGTCATTTTATTTCGTATCTTAAGATAAGAAAGTTAGTTTCCAAGGGGTGCATCTATCACTTAGTCTGAGTTAATGACTCTAATGTTGAGATACCACTTATTCAGTCAGTTCCAGTAGTAAGTGAGTTTCCAGAGGTCTTTCTGGATGATCTTCCCGGAGTCCCTCCTGAGAGAGAATAGATTTTGGTATAGATATTATTCTTGATACTCGTCCTATCTCAATTCCGTCATATAGAATCGCACCAGCAGAGTTAAAAGTGCAATTGAAAGATCTCCTTGAAAAAGGTTTTATTCGACCAAGTGTCTCACATTGGGGCACTACGGTCTTATTTGTGAGGAAGAAAGATGGTTCTCTTACAATGTGTATAGATTACCGTCAGTTGAACCAAGTTACTATCAAGAACAAGTATCCTCTTCCGAGAATCGATGATCTCTTCAATCAGTTTCAGGGTGCCACTTATTTTGATAAGATAGACCTCAGATCAGGCTATCATCACTTGAGAGTAAAGAAAAGTGATATCCTTAAGACAATATTCAGGACCCGCTATGGTCATTATGAGTTTCTGGTTATATCTTTTGGCCTAACTAATGCTCCTACAGCGTTCATGGACCTTATGAACAGAGTATTCAAGCCTTATTTTGATATTTTTGTTATCGTATTCATTGATGACATTCTAATCTATTTGAGGAAAGAGGAAGATCATGCTAGTCATCTCAGAGTAGTTCTTCAAACCCTAAAAGATAAGAAGTTGTACGATAAATTCTCTAAGTGTGAGTTTGGCTTTAGTCTGTGGCATTATTAGGCCACATTGTTTCTGGTGATAGGATTCGAGTTGATACTCAGAAGATTGAGGCAGTGCAAACTAGCCTAGACTTACATCTCCAACTGTTATTAGGATTTTCATGGGATTGGCTGGCTATTATAGGAGGTTTGTCGAGGGTTTCTCATCTATTTCATCCCCGTTGACTATGTTGACTTAGAAAACAACAAAGTTTCAATGGTTTGAAGCTTGTGATAAGAGTTTTCAGGAGTTAAAAAACTAGGTTGACTACTACCCCTGTATTAATCTTACCAGAAGGTACGCAAGGTTTCGTAGTATATTGTGATGTATCCAGAGTTGGACTGGGTTGTGTATTAATGCAGAATGGAAAAGTTATAGCTTATCCCTCCAGACAGCTTAAGATTCACAAGAGGAATTACCCAACCCATTATCTAAGTTGGTTGTTGTGGTGTTCGCTTTGGAAATATGGTGTCACTATCTTTATGGTGTTCATATAGATATGCTCACCGATCACAAGAGTCTTCAGTCAGAAAGAGCTTAATCTCAGACAGAGGAGGTGGCTAGAGTTACTCAAGGATTATGACATGAGTATTCTCTTTCACCCAGGTAAGGCTAATAGTGTTGCTGATGCTTTGAGCAGGTTATCTATGGGTAGTACTTCCCATGTTTAGGAAGACAAGAAAGTTTTAGCAAAAGATGTGCACAGACTTGCACGATTGGGAGTTCGGTTAATGGATTCCAATGAAGGAGGAGTAATGGTGATGAATGGGGCTGAATCATCATTAGTGTCCGAAGTGAAAAGAAACAAGGCCCAGATCCAATTTTTCTTGAATTAAAGTCAAATGTTCATAAGCAAAAAGTGATGACTTTTGAACAAAGGGGAGATGGTGTATTGAGGTATCAAGGTAGATTGTGTATGCCAAGGGTGGATGAACTTCAAGAGAGGATCATGGAGGAAGCTCATAGCTCCAGATATTCTATCCATTCGGGTTCCACAAAGATTTATCGTGACTTGAGAGAAGTCTATTGGTGGAGTTGCATGAAAAAAGGTAGTGTTGAGTTCGTTGCTAAGTGTTCGAATTGTCAACAAGTTAAAGTAGAGCACCAGAGGCCCGGTGGTATGGCTCACAACATACAACTTCCGGAATGGAAGTAGAAGATGATCAATATAGATTTTATTACTAATTTACCACGGTCTCACAGGCAGCATGATTCGATTTGGGTGATTGTAGATCGAATGACTAAATCAGCCCATTTCTTACTAGTAAAGACTACTTTTTCAGTAGATGTTAAGTTAAATATTCAAGAGGTAGTCAGACTTTATGGAGTTCTGGTATCTATTATTTCAGATAGAGGTGCACAATTCACCGCACAATATTTGAAGTCTTTCCAAAAAGGTTTAGGTTCCAAGGTGAGCCTTAGTACTATTTATCATCCACATATAGATGGTCAAGTAGAGCTCACCATTCAGACTTTAGAGGAAATATTGAGGGCGTGTGTGATCGATTTCAAGGGTAATTGGGATGATCACTTACCTCTCATCAAGTTTGCTTACAACAATAGTTACCACTCTAGCATCCAAATGAAGCTCTCTATGGGAAAAGATGCAGATTTCTTATTTGATGGTTTGAGGTTGGTGAAGCTAGGTTGATTGGACCAGACATGGTTCATCAAGCTATGGAGAAAGTGAAGTTTATTCAAGAGAGGTTGAAAACAGCGCAGATTCAGAATTCCTATACAGATGTTAGAAAAAGAGACTTAGAGTTCGAAGTAGATGATTGGGTTTACTTAAAGGTGTCACCCTATGAGGTTTGGCAAGAAAGGGAAGCTTAGTCCCCGATATATTGGTCCTTAAAGAATATCCAAGAGGATCGACAATGTAGCTTATGAGTAATAGCTATCGCAAGAACTAGAAACAGTCCATCTGGTGTTTCTGTAACTCCCCGGAAACTACTAGGCTAAACTAGAGCTAAAACGTGAGGGTTAGAGTCAAAGAGGTGGGCAAGGGCCAAGGGAGAGGACTAATCCAGTCCACTCTCCCCTAGAAACTACACTAGTGACCCAGACCACCATCACAAGTCGTGGTACGGACCACGACACATGGTATGGTCCGTGGTGGACTACGCAGTGAGCTCCCCAAACTCTGCCCAAAACAAGCTCCTCTTCACGAGCCATGTGACGGCTTGTGGTGAAGACCACGGCTTGTGGGAAGGCTCATGGAGGAAATTTGGGTGTGTGAGGGTGGAAAAAAAGTGGCAAGCCACTGCCTCAATGCTCACGAGAGGGACCACGGCTCGTGGAAAGCACCACGGCTCGTGGAGCCCCTCGTGAAATTGCCTTGGCCTTATGGGCTAAAAGGCACAGGTTACCTAGCCACTGCATCAAGTCCAAAAAGGGGACCACGGCTCATGGAGCCCCTCGTGGCACCTGGGTAGCTCACTTAAAGGGAGGGGTGTTTTGGGAAATTATGGGTTTTATGTTGAAATCCCCAAGAAACCATGAAATCCCCATATTCCCAAATTATGGTCTTGTGATGTAGGTGTGTTGATAAAAGAAGGATATTATGATATTATACTTGTAGTAGTTGGGTTACTTGAATTATGTCAATATCCATGTCTAATGTAGTGAATTCTTGATGTGTTGATTTGATATGAGCTTTGATCCTTGAAAGGGAAAATTATGATATTATGCATATTTATGAAGTCTTTGTATATGCTTTAAGAACACTTTCAGAGTGAAGTGTCTATGATTATGATGTACTTGTTGTGTTGTTGAAAGGTTATTCTCATATACATACTTATGCATGAATATGATATGATGTGAAATGTTTTCTCACAATATGATGATTCTAAGGTTGAAAGGCTTTCTCACTTATTGAATCTATATATAGACATGGACAGTGAAAGGTTATTCTCACACATGATCTAAGAGCTATCCTATGAATTATGTTGGATTGAGTGTCAACACATTCTTCCATAAATATGAACACAAGTCAAGATTTAATAAGTACTCCATGGGAATTAATTCTTAGCACCGAGTGGTTATTGATATGACATGGAAGCCCTCATGTTAGTTGAGGCCAAGTTTCTAGGAGTAATCTCTTGGGATGGAAGCCCAAATGATAGTAGAGGTCAGGTTTCTAGTATCATTCCTTTTATCCCATAAACTATGTGCCCCCATAGGTTATTTAGCTTTTGGATCCACCTAATCTAAAAGTGTGGTTCTACTTTAAGCAACTAGGACAACCCTTTTCGGTGTGGGTAACACCAGATTCCATGTTAAGCTCACATGGTCTATGTCGGTTAAGGTTTATTCCCACAACAACAATATGAACAAGAATATGAATTATGAACTATGGTTACTGAAGAAGTTTTATTTAGCATGGGTGAGATTTATGGGGTCTTATTCATGCATTGCACAAGTATGCTTTGAGGGTATTTATGAAGTGTTTATCCTACGATATGATGATCAATGTATTGACTATACTTATTGTAAGTGTCTAAAGTTTCGTCCCTGAAATATAGCAAACATGAAAAGAAAATAGGAAGCAAACAACAGTATTTGTATTTGAATTTATAAAGGTTACAATCTTTATAAAATCTTTAATAAAAGATATGTAATCCTCTGATTCTTCTTTTTACGGATGTTCTTCATTTGATGGAATACTTGTGGCTCAACTTTTGGAGCGAAGGCGTCTTTGTACTTGCGGCTCAACACTTGGAGCGAAGACTTCTTTGTATGCGGAAGACTTGCAGATCACCACTGAAGAGCAAGGA